TTTTCTGGCTATGTTTCAAATGCAGCTTCCCAGGTTTCATTTATAACATAAAGATTAATTTTATTATGAAAGAAGTTTTTAAATTTCATAAAGACAAAAAGGAACTACAAAGCATGAGAATAAGATACAAAATTATATTCATAAACTATATATTTTAATAAAGCTGGTTAAATGGAAAGGCATGCTTTTAAGTAAGAAAGGATTTTATATACTGAAATAAGACTTTTGTCCTACAGTCAAAGATTTTCCAAAAACAGAAAAGGTGAAGCCAAAATTAGAATGTTGGCATATGCTATAAGATCTGTGAGAGATAAAATGTAGAAAGAATGTGTAAATGATTAAGTAAGTTCACTATAATTAAAAGTTATTAAAAACTCTTTGGGTCCAAATTAGATGCAAAGATATAAAAGTAAAGTCTAACTTTCTGTTCACAAGAGTACACTTTGCATCAGCAAAACAGCAATGAAAAGACTCAGAGAACAAGGATTCTGTGCTTTGCCCCTCACGCCTGTAGTGCCAGGACATCAATAAGTCAATACTAGGTTTGCATGTTTTCCCAAGGGGCTTGAAGTTTCCTATTATCAGAAACGCAACACTTTAGCAGTGGGGAAAAGTGTGTTAGAAGAAATTACTTGTGTTAGAAGAAATTACTTCTACTTGGGGCATTCCTGCTAAGTTGTGCAATGATTGTGCTACTTATTTTAATGGATAGTATTGAAGTATACATGTAAATCCTGGCCTATTATACAGAGTTTTCATAGTGCCTGTGGTCTTCAAACCTCTACATTGACAAGTGATTGTCAAAACTAAGTAACACTTGTGACTCTCTTAGCTAAAGACACTCCCATTAATTCCACTAAATCTAAGGTCTATCTCTTTTGGAAAAGCAAATTATCCCCTAAGAAAATAATTACTTGGCATCCTACAAAAGTGGACAAGTACCATATAATCTATCTCTGCTTAAAGGGAGACAATACACACCACTACAAAGGACTTTAAAAAATGAAAACTAGGGCTGGAGAGATAGCTCGGCTGTTAAAAAAGGCTAGGCTCACAACCAAAAAATGATAACTAAGTCAGGATGGCAGTGTACAAGCCCTTGAGAGGTGAAGGCGAGAATCAGGTCACTTCTCGCCACAAAGTGAGGTCCAAGCCAGCCTCAGATACTTGAGATAGTGTCTCACGTAAAACATAAAAATATAGAGTCTTTCTACAGTGGGCTCCCAAGAGATGAGTAACTTAACTACTCAGAGTTAAAACCAAGTGATTTCCTCAGTTAGAAAAATATCACATCCAATACTCCACCTCCCATTTTGGTCTCAACGAAAGGACTTCTTACTTCCTGGTGGTTTATTTCCTTTTGTATTGCTGTGGGTCAAGGCAATTTATAAAAGGAAGAGTTTCTTGGGGCTCATGGTTCCAAAGGGTTAGAGTATACAATCATCAGGATTGGGCATGGCGGCGGCAGCAGCTCAGAGCTGGAGAGTGCTAACTAGGAATGGTGTGGGGTTCTGGGTTTTCAAAGCCCACCTCCACTGACACACCTCCTCCAACAAGGCCACACACCCTAATCCTTCCCGAACAGTTCCAGTAACTGGCAGCCAAACATCCAAATTTATGAGCCTATGGGACCACTCTCATTCAAAGTATCACGCCTACTATGCAAAACTTAAAATCAACTCTTAAATTTTATTTCTTACCAACAGAGTCAGCTCCTTCTGAGAACCCTTCCAAGAGGACTTTAAAAGCACTGCATGAGCCCCACCCTCCACTGTATCTACAGCCGAGTACTCCAAGTAACTCCAAGCCCTCTGGGAGGGCTGCAGATTGCCTACCAGACATGGGCACGTGAAGCACAACTGTGGAGACTGGATTTCAGATCTCAGAACTGAAATCCATAAAGAGATAAACATCTTTAAATACATGGAACCCTCACTGGTACCATGTTAGGGTCTCTTGCAACTCTCTGCCAGAGGCTGTTGCAGCAAGATCTACAAGCAGCCATCAAGTGGCTGTGGTGGCAGCAGCAGCAAGGGGTAGTAGGATCAGCTAGGGCCCATTCCCAGAGGAACCCAATCAAGTTGCAGGCTTTTCTGCTAACCTGTACAAGTAAAACAGCATGAAGAGGGAAAAGTGCAGCCCATCATGCTACACATGTGAGCTGTGTAGTCCCAGCATGTGAGAGTCAGACACAGACACACAAACAACACCCCCCCCCTTTACACACATATAAAACAAGAAAGAAATGCTTTGGTGGGTGAAGGGACCAGATCCTCACTCAGCCCCCTGCTTTAGCAGCCATGACAGGCTGCAGATCAGCAACATGTGTTTGCCTAACCTTGCCCCTCCTCCCAGTCACTAGGAGGTCAGATACCCTCCACATGGCAAGGAAACAATCAGAAGTTAGCTGGCGGGCTCTGAACATGCTTTAAGGTAAAAGGGCTAACATTGATGTGCAGAGCATAGCAACTGCCCTGGGAGGGCCCATAGGCCATAGGAACCAATTAAGTTAATCAATCAACATAAGACAAGTCACCCAAGCCTGGAAGTGCACCAATCCTGAAACTATTACAGACCCCTAGACGCTCCCCTTGCACACCCCAATAAATCCCCCACCTTGAGGTTCCTTTGGGTCTTTCTCACTCCACCCGGCATGTGGAATGGATGGTGGGCCCGAGTTATTGCAGCTAACTCATTAATAATAAAAGACTCTTTGCTTTTGCATTGGAATGGGTCTCTTAGTGATCTGGGGTTCAGAATTTGGGCACAACAGTGGGAAAGACTATGATGCAGAGTTGACACCGCTACCTCTGCTCTGTCATTCCTGGTATTAATACATTTAACACTAAAATCTGATTTTAAAATCCACAAATGTTTTAAAGTCATTTTAAGGTCTGTAGAGGAATAATTAGACTCTGAACTGTTGAAGATCGAGAACTGAAAATCTATGAATCTAGACCCTCTATTAGATAACCACAGTATTTTTGTTTTCCTATTCTTTCCAGCTACAACAGGCTTAGTGAGTGGCTCTCAAGGAGGTTTCATCTTAAGAAATCCTCCTCCTGTAAGTACATCTGACCTGTCTGTGCCCCTGTAGTGTCCACTCATTCCCTGGGAGGTCTCAGCTGAGGGCTATGTGCTGCTAAAACGCATATGGCACAGTCAACATGGACATCTGTCCATTACTACTTTAAACAGCTCTGTAAGCTAAGCAAAGGTGTGCTCCTTCCCACTAACACTAACACCATCTCCCTTCCTGCCTGGTGTGAGCAGCTCTGAACTGTAAAGATGACCACCAGGAGGTTCAGAGTGGTTTCCACTGCAGATCATCTGCTGGTGAGTTCACATGCATAGCTGCCTACCAGCACTGCTGCTGTGGGACGATGACAGGCATGGGACTGAGTGCCCTTTGCAGTCACACTTGTATGCCTCATAGAAAGGGGCTAGAAGAAGTGTCCCGCCAAACCCCAAAACAACTTCTTGCATTTGCAATCTTATTCCATCATCTGACATGCCTGAGACTATTATAGACTGGGTCAGCTTCGATTAAATATGTAGAGTGAGAATGCATGCCTCACCATAACAGATATCAAGTTTTGTTCTTTTAATGGCCTCTCCACAAGATGGGCCTGTTTCTTGGATAACTGCAGTATCAACAAACTTATTCTTCCTTCAGTATGAAGGGGACTTATGTACATGGATGCAACATGTATAAGAATGCAATCCTTGGTGCTGAAATTATATCACACAGGTTGTGAATATACAGGCTCTTGGTTTCTCAAATTTTCTCAACAAGGCCTCTCCTGACTGCACACAATGGAGCCTGAAGTCTCCAGAGGACCTAGGAAGCCTGTAGCCACCCCACAGAATTAGAAGACAATACCATCACATAGTGCTTCAAATTTGTTAATTTTCAAATTACTTGAAAGTCACAAAAATAGCACTAATATTCAGTTCTAATTACATCAACAGTAAAGTGAAAAATAATTATTTTGGTTGAGCTCTGAAAATGTTCTTCTCAATGGAAAATTTTCCAGTCTTGACATTTGTGTATGCTATAAGGAAAACAGCAAATGTAGAGAATTTTAGGCTACAATCATTCAAAAATCTTCGACCTTGTTTGAGTTTCTACTCCTCTTTCTTGTTACAGTCACTGTCAAGCTTGAAGACTTGTGTCAGTGTGGATATGTGTTCTAACATGGATGAGAGAACTGAATTCTCTTTTAAAGACATAGAATTCTATTTCAGTTATTTTCCAAAGAAAGCTATAGTAAAAGCACAAATTCAAGATCTCATGAGCCTATCTATGCAGGAAGGTGAGGAAAAACCCAAGGGTATGGGAGTAAGTTGTCTGGAAAGGAAAAGTTACCCTTGACATCACCAAGGTCAAGACCAGAGACGGATGGTATGTAATGGGCTAAGCAATGCCTAAAACAAAGCCAGGCCCCTTCAACCAACTCACACACTCATAAACAAAGTAACCCTGAAATTAAAATACCCTTGGAAAAATAAGCCAGGCAGGTAGCTAAGCAGATTGAATCTGGAATTGACATGTTTATGAAAACATTCCCACAGCTACACATACCATTCATATCAAATCAAAGCCAACATGACTTCATAGCCTTGAAAACTATGACCATCCAATCAATACTAGCCTTCCTCCCCCGCCTCACCTACTATTAAATACAGAAAAGCCTTTGGTGTGTAAGCCCTTTCTTTCTTGCCTATCAAGAGCATTTTCTACTCTGCAAATCTGGACAACTCCTTAAATGCTTTCAATTCCTAGCTGTAGTATAATATTCATATTTGTTTTTCCTTTAACTTTACTGAGTTTATTATTGTGAATTCTACAAATAAAGGCTATACTCTTGTCAGTCATTCGGCATTCAAATTCAACTAAAGTTCTTAAGCAGAGATGATTTAGAGGAACTATTATAATAAGAAAAATCTGAAGGCAAAGTATCTAAGTATATATGCAAAAATATCATTGTAATACTTACCTATGAGGCCCTTCTCCAGAGTGAAGGTTTTGTTTGTAAACATACATTCAAATGCCACAATGTGGAAAATCTTGTTCACTGTGTTGTGAGTCCCAACTATCCGGATATACCTGAGGGTGAAGAGAAAGCACATGTGTTGGAATGCGCTCTGCCACATCCAAGCCAGGCATAGGCAGGTTAAGGCACACCGCACCACACACAGAGTACAGGGGACCCTGAAAATTCTGAAGTCCACCTCCTTGGCTGGCTCATGGCCATGCCATTTCACAGGGAGTTAAGAAAAGCTTGGCTATGACTCGCCTAGAAATCACATCAGGTACCATTTCGTTCAATTCGTGTATGTCAGAACAAATGTAAATCCATGAGACATTTACCCTGGAGAATAACACCCAGCTTCCACCTTCCTCATGGCAAGGAGTCTATCTGGGTTCATGTGCAAAACTACAGGCAAAATCAAATGCATTCAGCTCCAAGAACTCCCACCCATTGCAGACAAATGCATGAAATCAATACCGCTTCCCTGTTTAGAGGGAAACAGGCACAAAAACTCCTGAAAACCACTATGGACATCTTTTATTGTAGTGCTGCTCCCAAGTCCCCACTAGGAAGTGAAGCCTGTATATTTACACCAGTACCCCCGCCCTGCCCCCACTGCTGGGGAGCCTTCTCTGTAGAGAGGACCCAGCCTGCTCTGCAGCTTCCCTCTGGGTCCCACAGCTCTGCCATCTGCACCTGGTGTGGAGTTTCACCGGGCAGGTCTGGAGTGTCTTGGCCTGTTCACCCCATCCATTATCCTAGAGGTTTCATCTCTGACAAACAAGCATTAAAACTTGCAGCAACTTGCTCCCTTAGCTCTAAAAGGACCAACAGTTCATGGGTTAATGAAGACACAACTCCATCTTCTGAGTATTACACAATACCACAGGGAATGTGCTCCATGCTATCTCCCTAGACTTCAAAGGGGGGACCATGATAAATAACTAGATTAACTAAGAACATTCTTCCAAATTATGAACTATGCACTGAGGGATGGGGGCATAAGAGAGAACAGATTTCAATTAGGAAATGACGGGCTGAACAAGGTTTTAGTAATACCCTCACTTTGCACGTAGAACAACCTTCAATTTAGATGATATAATTTTACTTCTAAGTTAATCGCTGCTCACTAATTCCATAATTTCCTAACATTTCTCATCACTCTGAATTAACTGTATAATGTAAAAGACTATTTGAAGCATTCACATTAATGAGACTATATTTAGGGGTTTTGCATTATGGGCTATCTTCTTCCCGCCTGAGTCTCATGGCATTCCCTGTGTACCTCATTTAGCCATCTGCTCCTTAACACAAGCCAATTACTCATCTTCATAACCCATACTAACGGGATCTCCTGAACTAGCTACTCAGGATGCCTGGACTTACTGCAGGGAGAACCATCCTTCCCTTGCTGAGACCGGCAACTGCTCCTACCAGAACCCTGCAGGTGCAAGGAAGGTTTTTCTGATTTCCTCAGCCTCATTGCAGACCAAGAGGGCTGAGTTGGTTGGGTTTTCTTTTGTTTTGGGCAGAGAATTCATTTAAATGAAATTCCTAATGGTCTGAGTCATATAGATTGTGTTGTCTTTTAGTGTGTGCATTCTGGAAGTGAAGGGGTGTACTAAACCTGGCACCTTGGCCTGAATCTAATTCTGATCATTTCCTGTAACCACAGGAACTCAACTAACATAGCCTGAGTGCTGCTGTCTGCAATCTTAGAGCAGGCAGATGGATGGAATCTGATCATATCCTATTCCCAAGGTTAAGTCACCCAAGAAGAATGAGCTCTCCAACTGCGCATGGCACAAGAGCCAGAAGATGACTAACAGGACCTCTTCCCTTGGAAGTGCTTTCTAAACATGGAATCAAGCTCAAGTTTAGAAAACAGTCATTTCCCAATTTTATCCTGATGTAAATGACAGGAGTAGACAAAATTATTCAACCTTTTCATCCCTTGCCACACAGTTATAAGCAACTAAAGATAAACAGTTGTAGTGGAATACATTTTACAACTTTAATGGCAGTGTTTGTGACAATAAACAAAATGATAGATAAGGCTCTGGGTCAAAGTCCCACATAAATGAAGACAGTGTTATCTCCGCCCATAATCCTGAGGTCAAATGGGCCATTCATCACTGTACATCAGGCTTCTTGCTGGCTACAGTAAGCATGCCTGTAACAAGCCCTGTCCCCCTGGCCCACATGCTTTCTAAGCTTGTACAATACAGCATAACTTACAGCGATGGCTTGATGTCCTTATCCAAAGCCACGCTTCAGGAAATGGAGCACAAAAGAAAGGAGCCAGGCCCCCTCTCCTGCCCTGAAGAGACTTATTGGAAGCAGCATGTGGGTCCAACAAATGTCTGGGCTTCACTGACTGCTGACAACTTGGGAACCTACACTAAGAATTCAGAGGCCTGTCATACTTGGAGACCTTTAAGCAATGACTGAGGAGGCATAAGTACCTATCACAGACTCATTTCCTCACTAGAGCTCAGAATGAAGTACCCCAAGGTGGATGAGAAGTTGTAACTGAAAACCCAAGAGAAAGGGTTCTGATGGAGTCCATTTCTTTTTATTTTGTTTTGTTTTTTTAACTTTCCTTGAAAAGCAAAACAAAACGATCCTAGTATTTAATCAAAAGAAGTAGACACCACTCCTCTGCCACAGGAAATCCTGAATTACAAATAAAGCTTGAGGTTTGTTCTTTTCCCTTCAGCACTGTCTCTGGGGCTGTAGTCACTGATGTCACCTGGTAACATGGAAGGGGCAGCAAGGGCTGCATCGGTGTGCAGGGAAGAGCAGTGCTAGAGACCATAGCACTACACTTTGTTCTCCCAGAGGTCCTCAACACAGCAGCTCAGTTTGCAGATAATTAAAACTTAAACTGGGCTGCACAAGGCAGAGAGGCAGCAGATTAGCCGGTTCTGGGGAAGATGAATGCCATCCACACGAGTCCCAGTGAACCCATCTCTTTCCGACACTCTCGGGCCTTCCTTGTGTTCACTGTCTTCAAATGGCTGACAAAGCCTGGACTTTGAACACAGTTCAGAACAAGATATTTCAGTGATGAAGTTCTTCAGAGCTAAGAGACTATGGGTGAAAGGAATTCTGTCTTCTTTAATAAGATAAAGTTAAAATGCTCAGGCCAGCCTACTGAAACTGGAAGGCACTGCCAAGTTTTAGAACAATGTGGCTTCAGAGCAGTGCAGCTCACCATGTAACGATGAGTCATGTGAGAGAAAAATGTTTAAAAATGTTTGAGCTTTGGTTTCCTCCTCTATTAAAAAAGGTCAAAAATACATATCCAAGTCAGGTTTTCAAAGCCAGACCCCATTGCCAGGCGCAAGATAGTGCCCACAGAGGCCACCAAAGCAATATGGGTATTAACATTGTTCTGGACTGCCCACAGAGATAGTCAGTAAAACCCTACTGCTGAAGATACCACATGTTCTGGATACAAAACACAGAAAAACAAAGTTGGAATTGAGCTGGCATTGCGCCCTCTCTCTGTCCTCTCTCTCTCTCTCTCTCTCTCTCTCTCTCTCTCTCTCTCTCTCTCTCTCTCTCTCCCCTAGCTGGTGTTATGCAGGCCACTGAGGAAGAAAAACTGTCAATCACATCCAGTTATAGACCTTTTCTGCTACAACAGTGAACTGCCGGTCAAGACATGCCTACTGTACAATAGTGACACGGATGTTTTGGGTTAACCAACCACTTCCTGATCAGGTCTGAAGCACATTCCAGTGGAGGGAATAGATGCCTAGCATTTGTAAAACTGCTCAAAAGCCTGGGGCTTAGGGGTTGGTCATAGGACCTATGAGGGAACTCATCACTTATGTTTTGCCAAATGGATGTGTAGTTGAACTGCCTCCCAAGTGTTTATACTATTATACCAATGTAGCACTCAGCCTTGACCAGAGAAGCCTGTTCTGGCAATGGGTGATTGTCAAAATGATAAGAGTAGGTGACTATTGGGAGTTTGGTCACAAATGGGATACCTCTCCTACTCCAGTGGACATCATGGAAGAAGATGGCAAAAGGGTGTGATACTGACTTAGTATCACACGGCTGCTGCAATCATGAAGGCACAGAGGGTGTGACTACCTATACCACCCCCTACCCCTCCCAAATAAGAAGGAAATGAGAGAAGGGGATAAGGGTAGAATAGGGACTAGGTAGGGAGAAGAGAGTCAGTGGAGTGGGAAGATGATGGGGGAGGGGATGCCAATCTCAGTATATTATATACAAGGACTGTCAATTTTAAAAATAAGTAACAATCAAATTACCCACAAAAGGCCAACAATAGAAACTCTACAGAGTATTTAAATAAGTTACATATTTTAAAGCACTCAAAGGCAAAGCTTGCAGAGTAAGATGCCCTTAGAGTAAAGTAGACTGTGGGGATGTTAGTTTGTGGTTTGGACTTTGAACCCTGGGCTACCTAGGGGAGGACTCTGAGGACTCCTGACACTGGGACTGCAGGCGTGGTCATGCAGATAAGTGAGGCACCACAGCAGAGGGCCCCATGGGCCAAAGGCCCCGGGCTCTAATAAGAGTGCACATTTCCTGACTCTATGTATGGTATTGCCTACTTTGACCACCCAATCTAAAAAGCCCTCTCCTTGACTCATGGAAGCAAAGGAGGAATTAATGCCTCCACATGAACTAAAATCCTCTTCCCCTCTATCCCAAGCTTCCCTCTTCAGTAGACAGGAGAAGGAAATCCAGGCAGGCTCACCAGGGCAGGGTGGTATATCACCCAGCAAAACCAAAAGGTTCATGATTTTGTGCACACCTTGGAAGTTAAGAGTTTTAATTCATTAAGGAATATGACAGTTCCATAAAGAGTCATAATATTTTGCTTTGGTGATCTCATGGCATTATCTGCCTAACATGGAAAGGTTCAAATTTTTGCCCTTCATCGGTCGATCCTTTCTGTCAGAATGCTTCCAGAGCTAAAATCTCAGCCCTAACACTGAAGATGTCATGCATCTTAACATACTAAAGGGAAATCAGTGAACTATGCATTCCCACTTTTACTCCCAGTCTCTCGGTCCGGCAGACGCTAAGC